TCTGACTTCCTGCTAATGTGCCTGGGAAAGCAACAGAAGATGGTGCCTACACACTTATGGGAAACCCAGATGAAGCCCCTGGCTCCAGCCTTGGCCATTACAGCTATCTGGGGCGCGAGCAAGTGGATGCCAGTGCTCACTATCTCTCTGTCTCTCCCTCCCTCCCTCTGCCTCTCTATCTGTAACTCTGCCCTTCAGAAAAATAAACCTTATTTTAAAATGAATAAAAAAGAAGTCTCAGCAAAGTGTCAGTATGAGCACCATTACCAGTAGCTGCAATGACACCACCTTCCAAAGTTTAGATAATATTGCCTGGCTACATAAGACACTGTCTTGGCAGAAAACAAAGCTTCTGCTTTCCTTTACTGTAGAGTAAGAAAAGAGTTAGCCATAGGATAAGAGAATTAGATTAGGCTTTGAAAAAAAATCAATACAAATCATCCCAATGCCACAAGCCTAATTGTGCAGTTTATTCAACAGAATTTGTGGCAACAAAATTGAAGAACCCAGCAAACTAAATTATTCCTATCAAGTTTCCATTAGATAGAAAAGGAGCATCTTTACTAATAGAATTAAGGAGATATTTAGCTCGAGAGTTAAGTTCTTGAGACTCAGGAGAATTCTTGCCTTGTGGAAGAAAGGATGGTGTTCAAAGACAGGAGGAGAGCTCCAGCAGGCGACGAGGGAAGCAGTGTTCTTCCCCTACTTGCAGAACCACAGTGGGGTTTGCTGGTCGAGTACGATCAAGGGCTCCTTTGACAAAGATCTCAAATTGGTAATCCAAGTTTATGGACTCTCATTCTTCAAATGAATTCACCTGGCCAAAGTTTTAATCAGCGTCACTCAGGGAAAAGTTGTCTATGGCTGAACACATCCATATGACTACCTCCAAGATTGGGATATAATTGTTCTTAACTTTCCCTGAAAGTTCCCTCTACAACACACGTTCCTCTCAGAGGTAACCACTATTCCAACTTCTGTCTGTTTAGATTAGTTTTACTTGCTCACGTACTTCATGTAAATAAATCATACAGCATAAATATTCTGACTTTTTTACTCAGCGTAATGGTTTTGCATTTTATTCATAGTTATATGTATTTGTAACTTGTTCTTTTTTATTACTAGGAAGTGTTCCACAGATGATAACCAATGGCCAGCAAGCACAGGAAAGGGGACTTATTGTCATTAGTCATCAACATGATTCAAATTAAAATCACATTGTGATGCCCAAGTGAACAGAAATGTAAAAGACTGAAAAGGCCAGATGCTAGCGAGGAAGCGGAACAGTAAGAACTTTCAGGTCTGGCACTGTGGTGTAGTGGGCTAAGCCTCTGCCTGCAGTGCCAGCATCTCATATGGGCACAGGTTCAAGTCCCAGCTGCTCCTCTTCTGATCCAGCTAGCTGCTATGGCCTGGGAAAGCACTGGAAGATGGCCCAAGTGCTTGAGCCCCTGCATGCAAATGGGAGATGTGGAGCAAACTCCTAGCTTCTGGCTTCCGATAGGCCCAACTCAGGCAGCTGTTTCATTTGGGGAGTGAATCAGTGGATAGAAGACCTTTCTCTCTGTCTCTCTCTCTCTGTCTGTAACTCTACCTCTCAAATTAATTCTTTTAAAAAAAACTTTTATCCATTACTGTTCAAAGTATAAAATAGAACAGCCCCTTTGAAAGATTATTTGGCAATTTCTGAGAAAATTAGACATCATCTACCCTATGACTCAGCAATTCCATATCTCAACATAGATCCAAGAGAAATGAGTGCATATATACTAAAAAATTTGTAGACAATATTCCTTAAGAGAGGGAAGAGATGTGCAATTTGGGACATGCTCAAGCTGACTTGCCCCAAACGGTAGAGTTAGAAACATACCAAGGGATTCGAATTCAATCCCATCAAGGTGGCATGTACCAATGCCATCTCACTAGTCCCAGTGATCAATTTCTGTTCATAATTGATCATAATGATAGGACTAAGAGCCAAAGGGAGCACATAAACAAGAATAGTGTCTGCAAATACTAGCTGATAGAAGCAAAAAGGGAGAGAATGATCCAACTTGGGAAGCGAGATACACAGCAGACCCATAGTATGGCAGATGTCCTAAACAGCACTCTGGCCTCAGAATCAGCCCTTAAGGCATGCGGATCCGGCTGAAATGCCCATGAGACTATTTCAGGCATGGAAAGCCAAGACACTCTGGGGGAAAAAAAAAAACCTAAATGAAAGATCTCCGTGAGTGAGATCCCAGTGGAAAGAATGGGTCATCAAAGAAGGAGGTACCTTTCTCTGAAGGGAGGAGAGAACTTCCACTTTGACCATGGCCTTGTCTAAAAATGATCAGAGTCAGTGAACTCCGGGGGCTTCCATAGCCTTGGCAACTCATGACAAGAGCCTAGGGTGATTACTGATGCCATAAACAAGAGTGTCAATTTGCTAAGTCAACAACAGGAGTCACTGTGCACTTACTCCTCATGTAGGATCTCTGTCCTTAATGTGCTGTACATCGTGATTTAATGCTATAACTAGTACTCAAACAGTATTTTTCACTTTGTGTTTCTATGTGGGTTAAAACTGTTGAAATCTTTACTTAATATATGCTAAACTGATCTTCTGTATATAAAGAGAATTGAAAATGAATCTTGGCCAGCGCCGCGGCTCACTAGGCTAATCCTCCACCTTGCGGCACTGGCACACAGGGTTCTAGTCCCGGTCGGGGCGCCAGATTCTGTCCCGGTTGCCCCTCTTCCAGGCCAGCTCTCTGCTATGGCCCAGGAGTGCAGTGGAGGATGGACCAAGTGCTTGGGCCCTGCACCCCATGGGAGACCAGGAGAAGTACCTGGCTCCTGCCTTCGGATCAGCAGGGTGCACCGGCCGCAGCACGCCGGCTGCAGCGGCCATTGGAGGGTGAACCAACGGCAAAAGGAAGACCTTTCTCTCTGTCTCTCTCTCTCTCTCTCACTGTCCACTCTGCCTATCAAAAAAAAAATGAATCTTGATGTGAATGGAAGGGGAGCGGGAGCGGGAAAGGGGACGGTTGCGGGTGGGAGGGAAGTTATGGGGGGAAGCCATTGTAATCCATAAGCTATACTTTGGAAATTTATATTCATTAAATAAAAGTTAAAAAAGACAAAAAAAAAAAGAAAATATTCCTAATTCCTTTCTTTGTAACACTGCAAATATACATCAACAGAAGAATGGGGACATAAACAGTGGTTTAATAAGACAAATATTTCCTGAAGGCCTATACCCAATACCCTTATCATCACTATTTTCAGTAAGCATGGCACCCCTTCTGGGGAATTCTATTTCATTTTCAGGGAGGGAGCACTGGGCCCTACGCATATCCCCCAACAAGACACAAATCCAGCTTCTTCAATAGCTATCACACTCTAGACTCTGGGTCACACGGTTTCAACAAATGTCAATCTCATTAACACTTTCTGGGCATGAAGCTCAATTCTGAGCAGAAGAATCAAAGAGGATTAAGACATGGTCCCTAATGTGAAGACCATGATCATGAGCTTGATACTTGCAGTCAGAAAGACACACGCTTGAAACCCAAGTCTTATTTGGTATCTGCTCTTGGGCAAGTCTAAATTTTCTGATCCGTTTAATATCTGCACCATGCAAACAATAAGAGTGTTCACCAAAGGAGGACTCTAAGAACTGAATCAGAGGATGCATGTGAAGTGCACAGCACATCTGGCACTTAGACATGTCTAAATCAACATTCTTTATTATTATTATGTATTCTCAATCCAGTGAGGCAAGAAGGCAAATTATGACTGATTACAAATACAAGGCAGATGATCAGATGTGCTGAATAGAAGTAGAATGTGCTTTGGGGATACTGAGAGAGTGGGTTAGAAAATTCTAGTCAGATTTCTCATAAGATTTATCCTGAGTTGTTGTGGTCTGTTGGTGTAGGAAACAAGGACTTTGGCTGTAATTTAAGTGATCAAATAATTACGGAAGAGACAACGTGGTGTGATATAAAGAGCAATGATTTTGAAACTCCACAGCCTTAGCTTTGGATCCAGATTCATCTATTAGTCATATGATTTTGTATAACTTAACTTCACCACACTTCTATTTCATCATTTTTAAACTCTGAGAACTCTTGTTTCTAATGGTGGTCGAGAATCAAAAACAGGGGCCCAAGCACTTGGGCCAGTCTTCCATTGCTTTCCTAGGCCATAAGCAGGGAGCTGAATTGGAAGAGGAAGGAGCAGCCAGGACATGAACCGGCACCCATATGGGATGCTGGCGCCACAGATGGAGGCTCAACTACTGCACCTCAGTGCCGGCCTCAGAACTTCCAGACCTTCTAAGAAAGAATTTAGCACCAGAAAAAATCATAGGCCAAGCCTTCCACCAAAAGCAAATCTTTTACTCTCTCTCAATACTGAATTTTGGCTGCAGAGGAAGCAGGGCAGTGAACCCGAGTGTGAGAGCACATCTGACAAAACTTGTTCCCCTGCTTTAGCAGTTTTTTCTCATTCAGTGAGTTTACCAAGCCTCAAGCACCGTTAGCACTGTGCTAACCTTGCACTGCCTGCAGCCTGCTGAGCCAACATGCAAGAGCCACCTGGTTGCGGCCTCCGGGCAGGTGGTCCTGTGTGCTTGTCAATAAATCCACACAGAGCCATTTGTCAAACCCCTGCTTCCCACCCACAAATGTCTTTTCCCTAAACTGATACCTACTCTATCCATTAACTAAAGCACTGTTTCACATCACCCAAGAACCAAGTTGATGTGGGGATTTTTTTTTTTTTTTTTGCAAGCTTTGCCTACATGGTTTGATACTCTGTGTGAATAGCCTAAATGACCCATGATATTTTAAGATTCTGGTATCAGGAAAAAATACTGCATTACTACTTGAAATGTCTGAAAAAACCTTCTGTAGCTTTCTGAGAATGTCAGCTTCAAATCAGTTCTGACAAGAAGATGATCAATAAACATCCAATTCCCAGACGGTTTCTTTCATCATCACCAGCACTGTCGTCGTCATCCTGCTCTTTCTTGCCCTTTTTGTGAGCCTCTCCCACTGATCCCACACTCTGCCCTTCTCTGTGCCCCAGGAAGCCGAATCCTATAGACTCATATCACAGCCTCTTTTGCCACTGGTTTCCTGATTGGCTTAGCCAGAAGGAGGCACAGCCTAGAGCTCAGAGCACAGCATGTTTCTTTCCCTTCTCTCTTTTTCTAACTCCCACCAACAGCTCTTCAACACAGCCCATACCTGGAGTGTTTATTAAAATTACAAATTCTGGGAAACCTACTCCTGTCTCTTTCTGAGGAAAACAGCTGTAGGTTTTAGCTTGGACACCGAGATGGGTTTAGGATAATTACCTGACCATTGGAGATAATTGCATAGGGTAACTGACAACCTGTGTGATGGCCCAGCCACCAAAATTACAACCAGAATGGGAAATGATAGTTAGTGAGGCAATCAAATGCTCTTGCCATAAAAAAAAATCAAATAAAAAATGCTAAGGAAGTTACTGAAGAGGTAGAAAGAGAAAAGAAACCCCACAAAGAGAATCAGGCAGTGAGAGCATGGACGTGGTCAGACTGAGGGTGGACCGGTGACCAGCGATGCAGCACTAAGGGAGGAGCAGTGTCCCTGGATCCAGCAGACAGCCTGAATGATGTCTGTTCTTACCTTCTATCGAGATTTCTATCTGCTCTCACTCATCAGCTCCCCGGTGACACAAGCAATCACTGCACGTGCCGGCCCTGGACAGACACGTTTAACTGGATTGAGGCTTCTCCCAGTTGTTAGAGAAGGAGTGCTAAGCCACAAGGAAGTGAAACTGTCTCCACGCTGGTCTTCCAGTATTTACTCTTTAGCACGTTGCTCACGCTGAGGCCGGGGTGAGTGTTCCAAAACGTCAATCTAACTCCATTAACGGCCTTACTGAAGATCCGCAAGTGATTTTCCACTCCTTTGACACAAAGTGAAGATGTCCTGCCATGGCCTACTAGTCCATGCAGAGCCTGGCCATTGTGCTTTCTTTTCAGCCTCCGATGGAGCCACATGGCCTGTTGGTTTCTTCGATCCAATCTCACTGGCCTACCTCCAGCCCCTGCTGACCCCCGCACTCCCTTCTGTCACAGGATATGGGATGGGGATATTGCTTCTGCCTACAGATGGGTGAGCTCTCGCCCCTTCACCTAGTTAACTCCGACTCATCACCAAGTCTTCTTCCCCAGGGACACCTCAATGACTGATTCCACCCTCAGGCATCTGCTTCATTTGATCATGTTGATGGTGAAACAGTCACTCTTCATGTTGACTACTTCATGGATATCTCACTAAACTCCCTGTACATCAAGGTTGTGGCTGCTTTTGTTCACTATTGGATCCTGCTGCACAGCCTGACCTAGAGTAAAACTCAAATCCTGGATGCAAGAGTTGAATGTGTGAACAGCACAGCAGAAAAGTTCTCATGAAAGTGCCATTGTGTGGTTGTCATGCAGTGAGCAACCACAGTAACAGTAGGCAGGTGACTGTTTCTTAGGAAGTGCCCACACACAACAAGAGCCTGAGACCGGACAATGGGCGGCTGTATGCACAGTACCCAGGACCAAGCACTCCAATCGGAAGGGGAGCCCAATACGTCTGCAGCTGCAACATCCACTGTAGCATCCAGGAAAATGCCACAAAGGTCAGTGGTAGTTGCCTCTCCTTTATCAAGTTTCATTTAGGCCACAAGTGGATACCCACAGAGTGCTTGTCAGTACCTTGGTAGATAAGAGATTGCAAGTGCGCCCATTACCCACTCCAATCCAGCTTTAAATTGGATTGGAAGAACAAAAGAACAAACTGGCATCTTTGACTATAAACTGAAAAGATGATGCAATTAACACAAATCTCTGATTGCCTTTTGAAAAATCATTCATGAATCGAAATGAGTAATAGTTTTAACTGTATAGCATATCCTTTCAAATTATACATGGCAAAGAGAAATTATTTCATGTTACCTGAATATGTGAAATTGGATCTAATAAATGCAAAGGGTTCTTTTTTTATGTAATTCCACTTAGGGAAAACAACTTGAGTTCTAAAAGTGTTTTTTGGACACCTAACAAGTGCTAGGTTCTCTGTTAGGCAAGGAGTGGAAGATATGAAGACAAATAGCCTAATTCTTGTTTCTCAAGGGCCCCAAAGACTAACAGTCGTGACAGAAAGTCAATCATAGCAATAGAAAATAGCACATGCAAGGTCATAAGGGAATGCTGTGCAAAGTGGAAAGATGGCACATCCCTCTGTCTATGAAGGAGAAATTAACAGTGCAGAGGTTTTAGAAAATCAAGAGGATCTCACCAAGAAGACCATGTAGGGTCCAAGATACCATAGAGTCCAATTCCCTAATTTTACAAGTAAGAAAAGTGAGGGCCTCAAAGGCAATGATCCCTTTACTAGTTGATACCAAAACCAGGCCCTGTACACAATGGTTCTTTTTCAGGAGTTGTCAAAGGTGTGGACAAGTTCTATTGCTCTTATTGGCTTTCCTTAAAAACTACTCCATCCATTGGGGATTGAAAAATCAAGCAATTCTTTTTTTCTGCTTATAAGGAAGCAAGATTCATTTTTCTGTCTTCAGTCTGGCTCCATTCTAATCTATTTCTGATACAGTAGGTGAAATAATTTCCCAGAGCAAAAATCTGATCATGTAATCCCTATTGCCCTTGGCATAACAACCAAAATCCTTCACACAGTCTCCCAGGTTCAGCCTGCTCTGACCCTGACCTGAGACTTCAGCCTCTTCTCCCTCCACTGATTCCTTCACCGCCTACATCCCAGCCACCCTATTTAGCCTTCAGTTCTTCAATCATGTGATGCAGAATTACAACACAGTCTTCTCTCTGCTCAAAATACTCTTCCTCCTGCACCAACTGACTCATCAGCCTCAGGTAAAATGCTATCATCCTAACAGTGCAGGAGATGAGTCCTTCTCTGCTCTCTATAGGTGCTCTGGCATTACTCTTTATTGAATCGCCTGTTTAATACCTTGCTAATGCACCTGAGAAGGCAGCGGGGGATGGCCCAGTGGAGAATGAGGGGGTAAGAGAGGGAGAGGAAGTTTGTAACGATTTTTCTGGTTGCATCCAGCCAAACCGTCAAAATGACTATAGAATTCCCATGGAATGAGATTTCTTTCATCATTGCTTTCAAATCATGTGATAATGAGTCATCTCCCCCATTCTCTGGGATTGATCAGCAGGGAACCTATTGACAATTTTGTTTGTGTCACAGATAGGGGAGAGTTAGCAAGGAGCATTGTGAATTAAATTTTTGCCAGCTTCTGTGGTATACATATTGCCACTATGTCTAATGTCTTCTGCACTAGGATCTAAGTCCCAAGAGGCCAGAAACATGTCTCGATCACTCACTGATGCCTTGATTTTTAGTTAAGCAGCCTAAGCAACTAGTACAAACATAGGTCAAAATCTCAAGCATTTTATAGGACAATACATCTTTTTTTCTCTTTCACATGACAATCCCAAGTTGGGGTTACCTTTACTCCACGCATCCAATAAAGGACATAGGTCAATGGAAGCTCTACCATCTCCCTAATGCAACTTCCAACACCTTCCTGGTAATCCCCACCTTAGTTAAGTGGAAAAGGGAAAGTGCATGAGAGTACTTACTTGAGAGGTGTTCACTTCTCTTCTGCTCCTTTCCTCCAAAGGAACTTAGTCTCATTGCCACATGGCAACAAGGAAGGCTGGAATATGTGAGCTATCTGGCCAGGCACAATCAAGCACTTCTTGATTATGTGGCAAGGGCACAAGGGATTCTGGGAAACAAAAGACTGCTCCACTAGAATGCTCAATGGAAGTTGATTTGCAAAAAGATAATTTTTAAATCCTTTTACCACTTTGCTTTGGATGCTGATGCCAATACCCAAGCTCCCAGAATCATTATATTTCTTTCATTTTGTTGGCAGCATTTCAACATCCAAACAACTCACTTCAATAAAAGGTAAGGCATGGGACAACTGAGATGTGCATGTTTGTCCTCTATAATTATGGGAGGTCAAGAGTTAAAAAATATAGTACGTCACAGAATGTTAGAGGTCTAAGAGAACTTATGGATAAATTATCAAATATTCATCAAATATTCATGATGTTCTTTTTAAAAATTTGAGAACTCAGGTCCAGTAATAAGAATCATCTTGCCCAAACCAAAAAAAAAAAAAAAAAAAAAAAAAAGCTGTGTTAAAGGTAGAGCTAAGATGAGACAATGAGTCCCCCGACTCTTAATTTAGTTTTCTTCCCATCATACCCAGTTTCTTCTTCATGGGCAACATCCTCAGGATGTCCACAGAAGGACCATAAAGATATGACTCACGGATGAACTCAGGACATGATAAACCCCAGCTGCCTCTGTTTGTTGAGGGAGAACACAGTATGGCCAGCACGTGTAATTACTTACCCTTGGAATTTGATTGCTTTGGTAAAATATCTTTAGAACTAACAGCATTTCCATGGGAATAGCAATACAAGACAAAAAGCACTCATATACTTGAACCATTATCTTATTCCAAAATTGATGACTTAACACATTTACAGGGTAGCAATGATGGCTGGGCATTAATCAGCTGTAGTTGCTTTTCCTTCTAGGTGGCTGGTTAATCTCTCTAGAAGAGATTCTTTACATTTTTAATTAAATAAATCTCCACCTAGATGAAGGTATTATTTTCACACTTCACAAAACATGAATTCTGTTCCATGATTTCTGTTTCAAGAAGTTACACAATTGGGAGCAAACATTTAGCTTAGCAGGTAAGATACTAACATCCCACATTGGACTGCTGGGGTCCAGGGGTTCAATTCTCACCTCTGGTTCCTAATTCCAGCTGCCGGCTAATGCATATCCTGGAAGGCATCAGTGATGGCTCAAGTGGTTAGGATCCTGCCACCCATGGGAGAACTGAATTGAGTTTCCAGCTCCCAGCTTTGGCCTCAGCCCAGTCCTAGTCCTTGCAGGCATTTGAAGAGGGAAAGAGCCAATGTGAGCTCTTGTTCCTCCCCGCCTCTTTATCTTTCTCCCTCTCCCTCTCTGCCTCTCTGCCTCTCTGCCTCTCTCCCTCTCTCTTTAAAAAGAAATCAATATAAACCCATATTTTCTCCATTGGTTACTTAAGAATCAAGGATATGGGGTGAATATATAGGTGCCTAAGACACCCAGGGCAATTTTTCTGTAGAAAGGTTTGAAAAATATTACACTAATGGGAAAATTATTAGCCTAGCAAGTAGAGATCAAAGATCTAATTTTTGACTCTACTATATGTTCCAATCTGAGACTGGGCAAACCACTCTGTACTGTACTGCAAACTACTCTCCTGTACAGGTATTCACATTTTTATTTGCAAAAATAACTAATGATTGGAAAAGTTCTATAAAGTGATTCTGACCACCTGCTGTATTAAGTAAAAGTGGTATTTATATTCACACTAAAGCATTAGCGATTCACTAAATTAAGTACTTAATATTTAGTGTTTTCGGTCCCTGGGTAGGTGAGCAGGAAGTGACAGGAAACAGTTCTGAAGTCCAAGTCAGCTCAGATCAACATATGTACAGTGAGCCCAACAAAACACAAGGAAATGGAAATGAATGTGAAGATAAATAAGATGCCATAACTTCCCTTAGGAAATATACATTTTAGAATTATGCTGTCCAATATAGCCACTAAACACTTGAATTGTGATTAGCTTGAACTGAGACAGAGTTTAAGAGATTTAATGGAGAAAAGTATAAAATGTCTCAATAATGTGTTAACATTAATTACATGTTGAAATAACATATTTGCATACTATAAAATGCATACATAAAATGTGTCATTAAAATTAATTTCACTTTCTTCTTTTACTTTTAATGAGGCAACCATAATATTCAAAAATTATGATTATGACTCATACTGTATTTTTTATGGCACTATTTACAAAATAATTTAGACAAATAAACAAAGCACTTCAATATGAGGGTTATGAAGAGGTTCTGTCTACAGAACAACACAAGCCAAATAAGAGATCTATCACCCCATTTAGGGGCTTGGGAAAGAGTCCAGCAGAATCCACTGCCTGTAAAACAATAGCAAGAAGCAGTGTCCAATGGAGCGAGGAACGACACTGGTCGCGGGACACTGGATAAGCCCACTTAACCTCTCTGGGCCTCAGCTTTCTCAGCTGTAACGTGGAGATGATATGAGGACCCATCTCCCAGAATGGACACTAGACTGAATGTTGAGTCACGTACATCCATCCCATAAAGAAGTGCAGGGCTCTCTGGGCGTGTCTGGCTTTCAGTGGTCCCTATTGGCGAATGCTGTAACAGTCACCAAGAGGAAGTATCCCCGGGGAGAAAAAACAGAAGGGGAAGTGCTGCCATGATTGAGAGCACAAGGAGCCCCCAAAGAGGGAGCCCCCACCTCCACCTTAATCATGGCCTCCCCGCGGCTGGGTGGGGCTCTCGCCTCTCTCCCTCCCTCCTGCAGAGGTGGGAGGGAGTTGCTGTCCCCATCTCTGTTCCCCCGAGGCAGGTGTCACAAAGCATTTGGGAATTGCTTCATATGTGGGGGCACTGCCCACTCAGGACTCACCCCCTTGTCCTCAACTCCCACACACTGGTCCAGCCTCAGGCGCTAACCAGCGGCAAGGACAACGGGCTGCAGAGCAGCAGTCTGGCATGGCGAGTGTGACCCATGGTGGTGCCAGCTTCCCTCCCAAGCCCGGGGCTGTGAGGCCTCATTCCACTCGCTGGGGTCCCAGAAGTGGCACGGCCCCCAGAGCTTGTGTGATCATTCCCCCACAGCTGTGTGGCTGCCCACAGGCGCCCATCAGCCATGCGTCTCCCGAAGGGTAGTGCAGTTCGGGCTCCTGGTCCACTGTGCTTCAGATCCAGGCTAAACACGGGGAGTCTACAGCAGCTGTTGTTGCCTGGGAGGTGGTCCCGTGTATTCCACTGCCCCTATGTGTTCCTGAGGCCTTGTGCACACGGGCCGTCCCCATGGAAGGCTGTCCAGAGTCCCGAGTCCCAGCCAGGCCACTAGAGGAGGACGGTCAGCCCGTTACCCCTTTGGGTCTTCAGTTGGTTGTCCGCCCACTCAAGCTGCCTCTCTCGATAAAATGGTGTTTTGTTTTGTCTGTGTTCTTCCTTTTATATGTCAGTAAGTGTCAGCGTCCACCCAGGGCAGAGGGGGTCAGCCATCTGCCCTGCCTCCCCATTCCTTGGTTGTCATGGGGCCTGCCCCACAGTGGCCCACTGTGGGCCTCTGAGCTTATGATGACCCCAAGTCTGACATGGTCCACCTGGTCCCGCACCATCCCCCCTTGGCGATGCCATTGGAGGGTCGGGAATCTGCTTCCCCCTGTGCCTGAGCTATGGGATTCTGACTACCTTGCTTCATGATTTGATACATTTGTTGTATTCAAAACTTGAAATGTAGGACGCCAATAAGTCATTGTGTCTGTTTATATTTTTTGGAATATTTGTATTACTTACAACTAATTAATAAAAGTGGGTTTTAAAAAACAAAAAAAGAAGTGCAGGGCATGGAGACGATGACCTTCACTGTCACTCACCGCTGTCGTCCACCAGAAGTCAAGATGCACAAAGTCAGGGACTCTTTTTTATTATTATTTTATTATTTATTTGAAATTCAGAGTTACACAGAGAAAGAAGGAGAGGCAGAGAGAGAGAAAGAAGGAGAGGCAGAGAGAGAGAGAGAGAGAGGGAGAGGGAGAGGGAGAGGCAGAGAAAGAGAGAGAGAGGTCTTCCATCTGCTGGTTCACTCCCCAATTGGCCGCAACAGCTGGAGCTAAGCTAATCCAAAGCCAGGATCTTTCTATCTAGGTGCAGGGACCCAAAAACTTGGGCCATCTTCTGGGCACCATCTTCTGGGTGCAGGGACCCAAGAACTGGCCTTACAAGCGCTAGTTCATGTGCTGGCTGTTCCACTTCCAATCCAGCTCCCTGCTGTGGCCTGGGAAAACAGAAGATAGCCCAAGTCCTTGGGCCCCTGCACCTGTGTGGGAGACCAGGGATCCTCACTCCTTGCTCCTGGCTTCTGAAAGGCCCAGATCCAGGCTTTGTGGCCTTTGGGGGAGTAAACTAGCAAATGGAAGACCACTCTCTCTGTCTCTCCCTCTTTCTGTCTTTAACTTTACTTCTCAAATAAATAAATAAAATCTTTAAAAAGAAAAAAAAGAAAATGGCAGGACCAAGTCCTCAATGTTATAGCTTACGTGTAGCTATAATAATCAAGACTTTGTGGCATTGTCAGAGGGTCAGACAATGTGAAAGAACAGAGGACCAGGAATAGATTCACACAGACACATCCACTGATTTTTGATAAATGTGCAAATTAATTTAAAATGGAAGGATATATTTGTAACACTTGGTACTGGAACTATTGCTCATCCACCAAAAAATAAAGGAAAGAGAAGAACCTCGACCTGTATCTCACACGTAATATGAAAAATGGATCCAAAATTTAAATGCACAACACAAAAATGTAAAACTTTTAGGGAAAAGTATTGGACAAAACCTTTCCCAAAAAGAAAAACTAATACATTGGACTTCTTCAAAATTAAAAACTTTTCTCTGCAAACGACCCCCACTGAGGTTAAAAAGATCATTTACAGACTCAGAGAAAAAAACTTGCAAATTGCATATCCTACAAAGAACTATTATCTTGAACAGATATGAAGCCCTCAAAGCCCAAATGTTTTTAAAATTCAATTAGAAAATGGGCATAAGCCATGAAAAGATCAAAGCAGAAATTTTACCAAGTAAGATGCACAAATGGTAATGAAGTACATGAAAGTATGTTCAGCATCATTAGACATCAAGAAACACAAATTAAAACCACAGCAACTTATAACTATGCATCTATCAAAATGGCAAAAATCCAAAAACTGTGACAACAACAAATTCATACATTACTGATAAACTATAAAGTAGTTTACTAACTTATGATTT